CCTAACCGCCTGTATGTCCTGACTTTTCTAGTAGGATGCTTTGCCATCCTTTGCCTCAAACTCCTTTCATTCGCCCTTCCCCTGCCTACTAAAGTGCTCTCCTCACCTTCTGTCCTGCCAAATCAATCCCCTTCTTTCCCTCCAATCTGAAAAAAAGAAGGTCCATCCTTCTCTAAAACCCTTTTCAAATTAATCCCACCTGGCTCCATTCATTACTTAAACCTTTTGGGGTGTGAAATGAGCTACAGTGCCTGGCTGCAGTATTTGCAACATTTGTTATTATTCTTTCTAGCTTTAGTGTGTCCAAAAGCTTCAAACATCCCTACCTAAGCTTCTGCTTCAGGGAGGAATTCTTATCACAGCAAATACAGTCTGAGGAACAAGACAAAAGAGAGGAAACCCAAGCAGGCCTGAGAAGAGACACAGAAGATTTAATACTGTACGAGATGCCCCAGGATATCCTTCCTTTTCTCCCTAGAATTCATCTCCGAGTATATTTTTATACTCCATATATGACCTTAAAAATAATGATGGTGGGTTGCATTTATATGCTTCTTTTCTCACATAGAATAAGGTTTTCCTGAAGCCAGGGGAGCCCTTTCAGGATGCATAACCTATAAAAATGGTAATAAAGGTTTAGAAATAGGTAGTCAGGAGGCATTAGCATGTCAACAAGGTAATGCTATATGGGCATGTTTCTATGTGATACCAAATTTGTACAGATTTCAGACAGCTGTGCAAATGTGTGGGTAGAGTTATCTAAATCTGCAGAGCTAAAATGTTCAGGATTTAAAAAATGCAAACCCCAGTCATAATCTTGCCAGAGTTCCTCTCTAAAAATTAAAAGCTGGTTTTGTTGCAAGGAAAGGAAACCGAGGCAGGGAGCGACTCAGTGACATGCTTTAACTGCAGAACTTAATATAAGTTATTCTCTCTCAACAACTCAATTTTTCGTTGTTATGAGATTTTGCTTTTCGAAAATAAATGTGATAATAAAAGCTTGCTAGCCTGTTATTTTGCCAAGAACATTATTAATATATTTTTATTATCTCCATCATTTCTTAAAATTATAAATGGTTTGTTGTAAACCTTCTCTGCGGTTTATCTTCTGTGTACTCTGAATACAAGCTGGAATAAATGGTGTTCAGTCCGGAAAAGGTTGAGTTGAATTTGGCAGGATTTGAAACGCAAGTAGTCACTCTCAAATTAAATTCTGAATTCTAACATCCAGCAATGACACCTGGAAAGTTGTATGAACGCATAGCCTCTATATAGCACTTCCAGGCTGCTGACATCAGTATGAGCGACAAAAAATTAATTATGTGAATACTTTATAATTTTTTTCCAAAAGAGCATTTTAATTATTTTATATTATAGCTTGTAATATATTCTATATACTATATAGACTACATTTACTATATATAGCATTTATATACTATATATCTATATACACTATATATAGCATTTAATATATTCTATTCTATATTCTGTATTCCAAACAATATGTCTGTAGTATTAATTGCAGTCTGTTTCCTCTAGTAACTTTGAGAGTGAAAATATAGAGAAGACGATCTCAGAATATAAACTGTGTGTCTGTTTTTTTATTTTCAATATGCACGCATAATCTTTATTTTTTCCTCTGCCAGATAGTGAAAACATCACTGTGGGACTGCATTTGAGACTCCAAGAGTGGAAGAATTGGCATTCACTAGATATTCTTTAAAGCTTTGCCTCTAGTCTTTTTTTCTCCTAGAATAGGCTTAAAAATTTACCTGCCAATCCCATCACAGTTTAATGCCAGTTGTAAATGTGTAATAAATAGACACTAGATTTTAAAAAAACTGATTTATAAATAGCACCTCAATACTTTTTCACTTTAATTATGTCCGAATTTTAAAAAAAGGAAAAAAAAAAAAGAAAAAGAATTATGTCCAAATTTTGTTTTGAAGTTCCAGAGATACTAATGCATCTTCTCGGGGTCTGTATTAAAAGAGCTAGTCGGGGCACCTGGCTAGCTCGGTCGTTAAGATTACATGCAACTCTTGCTCTCAGGGTCGTGAGTGGCTTGTACAGCTTACTTAATTAAAAAAAGAGAGAGAGAGATAGTTAAGGGATGGAAGAAAAACAGGTAGAAAAAATGGAAAAGTGTTAAACCCACGTCTCTGAGATGTATTTTTAATGAATTACCCTTGAGGATGTTCCCCCACATAGTTATGAATATGGTCAAATGGCAAAACTAAAACAATTTAGTATTGAGTTTGATGTCCTTTATTGAAGGGAAAACGATCCACTGATCGCGGGAGTGCAGTGTCTCACAAGCAGTAGAGCAGACTTCCTGAGTGATCTGGGGAAGAGAGAGTTTTATGGACTGTTAGAAGAGGCAACGGGGCATGGCTGGCTAGGAGATCAGGATTTCCTGTTAACCCTAGCAGGTCTTATTTTAGGGTAAAGTAAGCCAGCAGAAGCTGAGTTGGAAGATTGTGATTGGTGTATATTAGGGTTTCTTGACAATGAGGCCATTCCTCAGTGTGGGCTGACAGGTTTAGATTTGTGAAGTGGACTGGGCCACTGCAGTGGGCTCCATTTTGTGGGTCCTGAAATACAAATTAACTTTATCAGTGCCTTAAAATGAATTGCCTATCAAATAACGAGAAATCATTTCAGAAGCTAAAAAGCAGACCCCCTGAACAAATAAAAATAGATATTATATTTGGCTTTGACAGGGGGTCGCTGACTTCCAAGTGTCAAAATCACCTGAAGGGTATGTTAACACATAGATGGCTGGACCCTATTTCCAGAGTTTCTGTGTCGGTAGGTCTGGAGTGGAGCTAGGCAATTTGCATTTCTAATATATTCTCTGCTGCTTGCCTGGAGAACATACTTTGGAAATCCTTGGTCATGGAGAGTCAGGAACATATAAAACTACCTAGAAGAATGTCCAACACATGTAGGAATTCAGCAGAATAAGGACACTGGCAATATGACCAAAAACAATAAAAGAGAGAGTCTAAAAGAGAGAACAGATAGTAACTAAGACTTGCAGCAAAGATGAGCACAATCAACCAATACTAAGGATGTTTCTGAAGCCTCAAGCAAAGTCAACTCCATGAGAGCCTCTTCAAATTGGATAGGTATTCCTTGATAGTCTGAAAAGCCAAGACTGGTGTGATGAATTCTACCAAAAGCTGCAACAATGGTAAATTCTAAGTCCTCTAAGATCTGTTTTAATGCACACTCTGTCTTCCCTAAATATGGGAGTCATTAAATATAATGTTTCTGCATTATTGTCCTTCCTGAGCAGAGCATTTCTGACCTCTACACCCCTGCCTGTTGTGAAGTCCTTATGCCTATTCGGTTTTTCTGAACTATAACAAATACATTTTACATAAATACTTAAATAAGATGATGCTTCTTTTTCTCTAGAGGGAATATCTTAATCTTTAACAATAACAGTAACAGCACTTATTCTCCCTTTGACAAATTCATTTCGAGTATTATTAAATGAATAGTCATTGATTTGTGTGCTACAGTTACTTTTATCTGTTTATAAAGTTAAAGTGCAACATGCTGAATTCTGGGACATTAAATACAGGCTCCATTGTTCCAGTTCTCTGTTCAGTGGATGAAAGGTACGAAACAAACACTTTCAGTTTTTTTTAAGATGCTGTCCCATCTGAAAGAGACAGGAAACACTCTCAACCTCTTTTCTTCTTATTGATCACAACAGTCATGGGTGTTCCCTTGGAAATTCCCTACACACAGACAGAAAAGGGCCAGTGTTGGGGACTGTCTAGGCAAGACATTGGACCTTCTTTTGAAGATGCAGTTGGTGGAAACTTCATGTTATTCCAAAAGATAAGAACTGCATCCTCTCCTTGCCAACCGGCAGAAGTTAGCAGGAATCAGGATGTTTCCAATCAAAATGCATATTTTTATATAAGGATTAAAATCTGGAATAAATAGGGGCGCCTGGGTGGCGCAGTCGGTTAAGCGTCCGACTTCAGCCAGGTCACGATCTCGCGGTCCGTGAGTTCGAGCCCCGCGTCAGGCTCTGGGCTGATGGCTCAGAGCCTGGAGCCTGTTTCTGATTCTGTGTCTCCCTCTCTCTCTGCCCCTCCCCTGTTCATGCTCTGTCTCTCTCTGTCCCAAAAATATATAAACGTTGAAAAAAAATTTTTAAATCTGGAATAAATAAAAGGCAGGAAAAAAAGATTAGGAAGTAAGAAGCTAAATGTTTCCAGCTAAACCTACGGAAGAGGGTCAGGATGATTGAGAGAAATCTTCAGTTAAGTTTCACAGTGGAGAGTGTGGATATAACATGTTTTCAGGGATAAGAAAGACTAGAAATTTAATGTCTTTTGTTACATGCAGAATGTCTCTTTCTCCATCTCATGCTGGCCCATGAGTTTAGAGTTAGAGGGCCAGGCTACAGACTCCCTTTTTAGAGCAGTCACGTAGCTTCTGGCTTTAAATTAGGGCTTGTTAGACTTTAATGAGATACCGAGAACAAAGCAACATTTGGAAAAGTAAACACTGAAGACATTCTTTTTCTAGGTTGTTCTCAGGCAACATGCATTTTTTAAAAGATGGATTACACTCAACAGGAAAAAAGTTTAATAAATTATGGTGCAGCAATTCTATGAGGTTGTTATTAAAATTGATCATTATGGAATTTATTGAACATAGAAGAGTCAAATGAAAAAATCAGATACTCAAGTGATGCATGCACTGAATTTTAACTTTGTTAAATAATATATGAGCATGAAAACAAGAACTAGAGGGATTACACAAAAACTTAAATTACGTTTTATGTTATTATGGATGATTCTGATCTGTACCATCTTTTAGACAGCAAAACTTTTGAAGGGTTATATTAAAATGTTCATCTTTTTTTTGTATGGAATCCCATCATTTCTTTCAATGTCCACAGCAATAAATAACTATAAATTAAGGTTTTGGTTCTTTGTGTTTTTGTTTTGTCTCTATGTGTTTTTCCCTAGGAGTGGAAACTCATCGATGCCAATCTTCTCTACTGGAAGTGGACCATTTGTAAAATTAAACACAGCCCCTAATGGCAGCTTAATACTAACACCAAGGTGGGTCCCAAAATCTGTTCTTGGACTAATTTGTACATGGACTGGAAAGAAGATAGATTTTAAAACTAATCAGATTTTAATGCCACCACATGCTAGCCATATAATCTTAAAAGTTATTTAATTTTTGTATTATTCAGGTAATCTCAAATACTACCTAACTGATCCTACTTGATAACATTATCTAACCCTCATGTATATGGTAAGGCAGTCAAATGAGATATTGCATATAAAATTGTGCAGCACATAGACAGAGATTCAATAAGTTTACTTCTATACCCTTTCTATCCTTACCTTCAAATTCATTAACAAGTAAATCCCAAAGAAAAAAATTCTGAGAGTTGGGATAAATTGGTCCAATGTTAGACTAAAAAGGGTGACACAAATTAGTTATCAAGAAAAGAGAAGAGAGGGGCGAAAGTCACGGTATTTAGCAAATAGAACATGAATATTGAGGGAAGGAGTCTTGACTTCTAGTTTCGCCTGCATATTCTCTTATGCTCTTTAAAATTAGGTTATTTTGGGGCTCCTGGATGGCTCAGTAGCTTAAGCATCCGACTTCAGCTCAGGTCATGATCTCGCAGTCTGTGGGTCTCTATGTCAGTCTCTATGCTCTCAGCTTGGAGCCTGAATCCCACTGTCAGTCTCTATGCTCTCAGCTTGGAGCCTGAATCCCACTTGGATTCTGTCTGTCTGTCTCTCTCTTTGCCCCTTCCCTGCTCATTCTCTCTCTCTCTCTCTTTTTCTCTGTCTCTCTCTCTTTCTGTCTCAAAAATAAATAAACATTAAAAAAAGTTTTAAATTAGGTTCATTTTTATAATTTTTACTACTGTTTAAAAAGCAACCTCCTTCCTGTATTCAAACGTCTATTTTATCTTAAATTATGTCATTTCTCCTGTTTGGGCATTCATGATATTTTTTTTGGTTGAGATTGGCTTTTGAATTTTAAAGTTCCATGAAAGACCAGCTGCAGGTAGGAAGAGAGTAACTTCAAGAAGAAGCCATAACTGGGGCACCTGGGTGGCGCAGTCGGTTAAGCGTCCGACTTCAGCCAGGTCACGATCTCGCGATCCGTGAGTTTGAGCCCTGCGTCGGGCTCTGGGCTGATGGCTCAGAGCCTGGAGCCTGTTTCTGATTCTGTGTCTCCCTCTCTCTCTGCCCCTTCCCCGTTCATGCTCTGTCTCTCTCTGTCCCAAAAATAAATAAACGTTGAAAAAAAAAATTAAAAAAAAAAAAAGAAGAAGAAGCCACAACTACAGACAAAGATTTAAGATGCCATTGCTGGTACATTAGCTTGCAGGTTTTTTTGTAGAACATACTTAATGGTAAAAAATGAAATTATGTAATTATTCAGCTATTCATGAAACGTTATATCTGTGAGCTCAACCAGTAAAACAAATTGATAAAGGAGTATTTTCAGTACCAAGGACTTTGCAATTGAATGTTTTATATGAATGTTTGCTGGGCCTTGACTGATATTATTAGTCTCATAAGGGGTGAAGCAAAGCATTTTCAAATGAGAAAGCAGATTTCTAGATTTCCTTCTATAAGCATGTTTAAATTTACATTAGCATTGTAGACCAAAAGCAATTTGTACACCGAAAATTTCTTTTGTGTATATCTTATAGACTTTAAGGATAAGAAAAAGAACAAAGGAAAAAATATTTTTAAAAATTCATCTCAATTATGTGCATGTTTCAGAGCAGAAGTCTGTTATTCCGTGCTTATCAACAAAATGACAGTATCATTGATGTCCCTATTGTGTGTATGCTTATGTTATTGTATGCGTGCTATGTTATTGTACATATGCTATGTTATTGTACGTATGCTTATGTTATCATATATATGCTTAGTATTACTCTACTCTAAGGCCTAGGAAACTAAAGCATGACCTGGACGTGCTCACAAATCCATAGGCAACCCCACATTCCTCTGTTTTCCACTCTACCTTGCAATCTTCTAAATTGCCAAAGGCAACAGCTCACTTTAAATAACAATTCTGGAAGGGGAGCTTGGGTGCCTCAGTTTGTTGAGCCTCTGACTTTGGCTCAGGTCATGATTTTGAGTTTGTGGGTTCAAGTCCCAGGTTGGGCTCTGTGCTGACAGAGCAGAGCCAGCTTTAGATCCTCTGTCTTCCTCCCTCTGCCCCTTCCCTGTTCTCTCTCTTTCTCTTTCTCTCTCTCTCCCTCTCTCTCTCTCTCTCAAATAATAAAAAAAAAGAAAAAAAACTAAAAAGAAAAAAATAAATAAATAGCAGTTCTAGAAAGGAGAAAGAAAGAGAAAGCATAGCCAATCAACGAGAAAAAAGACCATGTTGATGGGCATATATGGGAGAGAAACATTTATTTTGTCAATACAATAGATATAAACCCATCCATTTATATCACAATAGCCCCTCAACTAATGGGGCTGAGAGAAAGACATAGGATCCTGCCCTTGTCTTTCTTCCTGTCCAGAGGGCTGACCTAGCTCTGATTCCAGGACCAAAGTCCGGGACAATAATTCTGTTTCCCTCCAATCTCTCTAAATATACCTGGGCAAAATGTGGAGTCACTGCTCATTCTGACCAGAGACTAAGGCATTTATTCCTCTACACTGAGAAACTGCATGTGTGTGTTTATGCATGAAAAGTTTGACTGGCTGAAATGCATGGAGAATGAGGGGCAAAGTTCAGGTCCATTTTCTGGTTAATTTAATAGTTACTTTTTATTTTAAAAGTTTATTTAAGTTTTTCTATGCTTGCTAAAAAGAATTTCATCAGTTTTGTCCATACCACAGAGTATTAGGCATCTTTAATATCTAAGAATGCTGAACCATTTTGAATATGGATTTTCACTGATGAGTACTATAGATAGAGAAAGAGTTTGGATGAACTTGAAAGTATGTTGGAAAGCATTCTAGAAACTGCTTTTCTCCCAACGATGAGTATATAATAGAAGGGGAGTTCATTATGACTATATATTGATATACCCATATTTAGATGGATATACATGCGTGTGATGTGGTTGTGGATTGGGGGGGGGGTGGTTCGGAGCCCACGACCAAGAAAAAATTCTTAAGACGTCTTTGGGGCAAAACAGTAATTTTATAAAAGGATGGGGACAGGACCCATGGGCAGGAAGAGCTTCCCCAGGATTGTGAAGGGTGACTGATTATATACTTGGGAGCTGGGGGAAGTAAAGGCAATGAGGAGTTTCCAAAAGGACTTTTATATGGAGGCCTAGCTGTTGTCAGTCTCTAGCAAAGCATTAACATTAAGACATTAGGGAGTTCCTGGAGAAATGTCGTCCTCCCCTGCCTCAAGCATTTGTCAATAGGCTGCAGGTTATAAGGAAATTTATTTGATCTACCATTTCCTTCTGCCTTGGTTTCCCACATCACATCCACATTGCTTATTAATAAAATATAAGTATATTTTCTTTTATTTCAATTGAACTTACCTTCTATTCTAAGTGATATGTCGATTGGACAGTATGAATGCACGTGCTTTCAAATAAGCCTTATCATGTATGTTCCAGAAACACTGAATTGCTTTGATTGTACTTGTGATCGCATACGAATCTTGGGTCTTGCTTTGTGTTTTTGTTTTGTTTTTACCTGAAATTTCAAACACCTAAGTAATATGCACAACATATGTAGCTAAATATATAAATAGAAATTATTAAAGTTATATATGTGTGTATGTGCTTGTTTCAATGTGACCAGTATCTGCCCTGGCAGAATCAGGAAACAGTGTGGGAAAGTACTTTAATTCCTTGTATTATACTGATCTCTAGTGGTCAATAAGTATAACACATTTTTTAACTCTTCCTTTGTTTAAATTTTTAACATAGAATTCTTGGCTTTGAAAAAAGTTGGTATCCAAGTATTTAAACAGGTAGTGAGTTTTTAAATTATTTATGCCTATACTTCGTCTTATATTTTGCTGTTTATATGTTTATCTCCCTTGAAAGCAGGGCCTGTGATTCATCAATCAGTGAATTTTCTGAATGAGGTACACAGCCTCACACACAATGCGAGGCATTTATATTTGCCTGATTAGCAATACTGAGACATGTTCTGTATTATAGAATGATGATATCCAAGGTTGGTTCAAGCAAACTAACAATAACTATCATTTATTGAATGTTCATCGTGTGTATGGCACAATAACTCCAGTTTATTTAACTTCTCACAAAACTCCAACAAAGTAACTACTATTGCTCCCATTTTATGGATGACAAAACTGAATCCCAGGGACACTAAACAACTTATCCAAAATCACAAAATGTAAGTGGTAGAGAGTTAAGGGCTCAAACTCCGTTCTATTTGACTCTAAACTGAGGATTTTCCTGCTGTGTGTGTCAGCGTCCCCACATTTCATATAACCTACTTACATCTGAAGGTTAATTCTACTAAAAAAATAAGATAATAAGATTAAAATAGATACACTATACTTTGTTTTAAAATGTTAGGTGCACACTTTCTGAAATATAATTGTTCTTCTATTACAGTAAACAGTGTTTACAGGATTCACTGGTTCTGTTACAATGTAACCAAAAACGTAAGTAAATATTTCGTCATGTTTTCTTCCTTCATGCCTTCCATTTAAAATTCCGAATGGAGTTGGTATATCACTATTTTGTAGTGATCCACTAAATTTTCCTAAGCAAAGGAAATCCACCAAAATAAAATAGATTTATTTTAATTCACTTATTTTATGTCTTCATTTATTTTAATAGCATGTGGGAAAAAACTAGTGACTCCACGAGTCAGCCCAAAGATTGTTGGAGGAAATAATGCCAAAGAAGGAGCCTGGCCCTGGGTCGTCGCCCTTTATTACAACGGCCAACTGCTCTGTGGTGCATCTCTCGTCAGCGACGACTGGCTGGTGTCGGCCGCCCACTGTGTGTATGGGTGAGTGTGACATCACAGTGGCTTCTCCCAGATGAGATGACCACAGCAGACACTCTGCATGCCATTTCCTGCAGCCTCACAAAATCATCCCCTCAGGGAAATGTTCCTGCCATTCTGACATTATATAGTACCATTTTTCCCATTAAAATCATATATAAACATAGAGAACGCTAAATTAAAAATCAATTCTTCATTAGATACTTGCATAAAGCATTATGTTTCCTACATACATGAAGATTGAAATTCATACCTACACAAGGTAAGCATTTTTAAAGGCATGAAATTCGTATTTAATGCATACATTGTGCTGGTTATCGTTCAATCAGGCCAATAGCATCAGAAATTGTCAGTATCAAAAAAAAAAAAAAAAGCACGTTCAAATAGCCCTTAAGTGACTAATAAACTGTGTTCTAGAAATTCATGGGTAAGGACTTTGTTGTGACTTAGAATAAAAATATTTCCTTCTCAAGTCACATCTAGTTTGATGCTACCCATAACTGAATCTTAGAAACAATATCAACCATATCTAACTCTTTTTTTGTTATGTAGTATGACAAAATACATGTTGAATTCTAGGATCTGTCTTCTCCTTCTAGAAGCAGCCATTCGCAAAGCAGTGCCACAGGGAAAAAACAGAGAGAGTGGAGGGACGGGGAGAAAAGGAGGAGAAAAGAACTATTCTTGGGCCCAAGAACGTGTTAATTCTCTGCTTCTGCCTGAAAGAAGGCACCTTCTTAGGTAGTCTTATTCTGACACTTCTGAATTAGGCCCAAGTAAAAGGTAGCTTCCTCATAGAAGATTCATAAGCCCTGATCCTAAGGTAATTTACTGACCTTAATTGAGTAAAAGGAACCTCCAGAGAATGGCCTGAGTTATGAGGGTTAGAATAAGCCTCTGTGCCAGTGTCCAGAATCTCTGAGAAATGAAGCATGTGTGCTCAGGTATGTAAGATATAGCTATAATCAGATCAAAAGACTAACTCCCTACCAACCCAGATAGTGAAAGTTCTTTGATGGATGGAGACAAATTGTCAGATGCAGGTTATGATAGTTGTTTGGGAGACGGGGGCGGGGAGCAGAGTATTAAAGGATTGATCCCATTGGACCAGTGTGAGGGCAAACTTGAACTCAGAACCCGAGGAATCTGAAATAAGGACCCATAGCCAGAGCTGGACTAATCACCTGGGCTCCAAAAGGACTACCCAAGTTACTGCCCATCTACATCCAAGCTCTCTATTCTTTTTTTTTTTTTTCAACGTTTATTTATTTTTGGGACAGAGAGAGACAGAGCATGAACGGGGGAGGGGCAGAGAGAGAGGGAGACACAGAATCGGAAACAGGCTCCAGGCTCTGAGCCATCAGCCCAGAGCCTGACGCGGGGCTCGAACTCACGGACCGCGAGATCGTGACCTGGCTGAAGTCGGACGCTTAACCGACTGCGCCACCCAGGCGCCCCAAGCTCTCTATTCTATGCATCGCACCCTGTATCTAGATGAGTAAACTACAGCCTGTCCCATACCTAAACTGCACCTTCGTGACTCTGCTGCCTCTTGATAATAATATTTTAATCTGTTTTCAGCCACACCACAAAAAAATGTCCATAGCAGTCAATATTTTCCCATCCCCTGCTAAACATGAATTTAACTTTTACCTGTACATAACCTATACCTTCAGATGCCACAGGTGGGTAACCTATATCCCAATTTACAAGCGAAAGGTATCTTTACCTACAGATTCATTGTTTTCTATTGCACAGAGATGGGTCTTATTAAGTTAGCAACCTCCCATATTAACCTTGGATTTGGTAAATTAGTCCGTTTGATGTTCTTGCAGAACATATGCTTTCTAAATGTTAACCAGGCTTACAGTAATATTAGTGGCATCTTTCATTTATCTACCTTACAGATGCACTTGTTGTAGGTCAATCATACCAATATCATAGCTTTTTAAACCACAAATATTCAAACGAAATAGAAAAGCAGTTTGGTCTACTATAAACACATGTTTAGTTATATAGGACATAAAATGTCTTTTCACACAGCTTCAATCGGAACACAAGCAAACAAGTGTACACTGTAATAGAATTGTGACGAATTCAAGCTCATCCTCACCAACCTTGCATTTTGCTCTCTTTACCCATTCAGTTGTATTATTTCTTCTTTCCCAAAAAATGTAAACCTGGTCCAGGCGTTTTAATCTGCAGGTGGTTAAATGGTTTAATTGGACAGCTCTTCTCTGTCTACCACAGTCTACGCTCCTCTTCCCATCCATCAGCCACAGTGTTCCTGGATGTCATTAAGCTTCCTTATACCTGTTCTTTTTCTCTGTCACCGATTTGTCTTCTTTTCCAACCTTAAAACAGAGATTTGGAGAGTATGGACCAACTTTACTGTGCCTTAAAAGGAAGGTTGACTTTAAACCAGAGGATAGAATTTTGATCCTACTCACGCTACTGACTTCATGTGACTTGGTATCTCTGTTTAGGTATCCTCACCCCCTGTGGGTGATGCCCACCCCCTAGAGTGATTATCAGGACAAAAGTAAGATGATGCAATACTTCTGCGTACTGTGGATTACATAAATGTGCAATAAAAATTTTATTGTCCTGCTGTTCCTGTGCAGAAAAGGTCCAGAGTCTGATTCTTGCCCAGGAGACATTCAGCATATTTATTTTCTAAACTTTTTATAGTGCTATAATTTCAAACACAAACAAAAATTGCAAATACTAGCACAGAGAACTCTTATGTACCTTCACTGAGATTCATCAATTGCTTACATTTTACGCTATGAAAACTTTATCTTTCTCTCCAATCTGGAGAAATATTCTTTCATTCTCTCCAATCTGGAGAAATATTTATTTTCTGAATCTCTTTATAGTGTATTAGACATTGTGCCCCTTTACTCTGTATGTTTACTAAGAACAAGGATATTTTCCTACATAATCACAGAAAGTCATGGACATTTAACATTAATGCAATACCACTATCTAATCTATAATATGTGTTCATTTTCGTCTACTGTCCTAAATATGCCCTTTATAACCTTCCTGGTTTGTTTGTCTGTTTGCCACCCAAGAACCAATCCAGGATAATGCACTGCATTTTGTTACTATAACTCTTTCATCTTTTTCAATCTGGAATAGACTTTCTGCCAGGCTTGCTATCTTTATGTCTTTCTTGTCTTTGATATTTTTTATTACAGCAAGTTATTTTATAGAAAGTCCTCATATTTGGTGAAACCCTTTAAGCTTGCCCCCGCGTTGGCCTTGACGTATGTCCATTCTTTGAGAATTTCTTTACTTTCTGCAAAATAAGATGTTCCCGGTTCATTTTGTGCTTCTTCCCCCCTAGTCCTCAAATCAAACTTTCTAAGAAATCCCAGTTCTGCTTAGGTAATTTTAGTTTCTTCTACGTTTTACAAACAAGGTCTTGTGTGCTCCTTGCTACTGCTGGTGTGTCAAGCTCCTAGACCCTCTCAATAGATACAGCCATATACCTATAAATATGAACTCAAAGTGACAGCTCCAATGAAAATAGATTGCCGCAAGATGCATTCTAGCTCATCTCCAATAATGAGAAACCTGTGCCCACCATCCACAAAATATCTATGGATTTGTTCAAGCTTAGAACACAAGTAGTTTGAGAATTGCTAACCCTGCTGCCGTTAAGCAAACTCACCACCTAGAGTTTAATACTTGTTTTTTCCCACTGACAGAGAGCAACTGCATAATCTTAAGTGCACAATTTGATGAGTTTTGAAGAGGCATATGCCTGTGTAACCCACACTCCTATCAAGACATGAAACTTTCCATCACATGCAGAATTCTCTTATTCACCCTTCCCAATCACCATCCCTGCTTCCAGAAGCAACCACTACTCAGCCTCTTGGGTGGACAGGTATATATAGATTTATACTCTGGATCACAGCTATTAAATTGACATACATCAATAATGAAATTATCCATAGAGAGGCCTCTTGCCAATCTCCCGTTCTTTAATTTAGCTCTTTAGAGATGACCAAATACATTTATTTCATTCCTTATTGAAATAAATCATTATTCAATATTACTATGATGCCATATGATACTTAAAGTACTAAAACTGACCAGTATTATCCCATTTAATCTAGCTCCTCTTTTCTTTTAAAATTACCCCTGATATTCTTGAAAACATTCTTTTTTCAAGTTTTTATTTATATTCCCTTTATTTAACAAATAGTGTAATATTGGTTTCAGGAGTATAATTCGGTGATTCATCACTTACATACAACACCCAGTGCTCATGACAACAAGTGCCCTCCTTAATGCCCATCACCCATTTAGCCCATACCCCATCCACCTACCCTCCATCCACCCTCAGGTTGTTCTCTATGGTTGAGTCTGTTTTCTGCTTTGCCTCTCTTTTTCCCCCACTATGCTCATCTGTTTTGTTTCTTAAATTCCACATATGGGTGAAATCACATGGTATTTGTCTTTCTCTGACTGACTTACTTCACTTAGCATTATGCCATCTAGATCACATTTCATTCTTTTCGATGGCTAAGAAATATTCCATTGTATATATATCTACCACATCTTCTTTATCCATTCATCAGTCGATGGACCTTTGGGCTCTATTCCTTGAAGACTTTCTTACTCTCTGACAGCACCATATTTCAGAGGCATTCTACTTTTTCCTTGCCTTAAAAAATGGAATTGGGTATCCTCATGGGAATCTTTTTTCCATTCAGTGGAGAATAATAATAGAGACCTAAAATGCTGTGCTGGGGGTAAACATTGGGGTTGGCCATGGGTGGACTTGACTAAAGTACCATCTTTGCTAATGGTAGAACAGAAAACTATTGCAATTCAGAGTTACAGGTTCCCACTGATTTTTCTTCCTTTCGGCATATCATCTTGCTCTATCATAACTGTCTCACCATATTTACTTTTTACCACAATGAAAGTCCCATACTCTGAGTTGGGAATTTATTTATACACCAGCACATGGCAACCTAGAGTGGGCATAGTGCTAGTCCTCCCATCTGGTGCAGCATCGAAGGAGCACCTACTGTGCACCAGGAAGTGTGCTAGTCTTTGAGGATATAGAAGTCAAAAATACATGCCTTTCTGTTGCCCCCAAACCTGTGCCTTTCTTTCTTTTGCTACTAAGAAACATATTTCGCTTGAACAAGGCAGGCACAGGCAAAATGCAGCAGAAATTCAACCAACGTCCCCTACCTTAAGGTACTCACTTCTGCCCTCTTTAGTCTGTGCCAGATTGGGACTTGCCTATCCAATGGGCTATTTCCTGTTCCATCCGCACCTGTCTTCTGTCCTATAGCTTTTTCTTGTTTCACTAGAATGCAGATATTTTCAGACAAATATGTTTTTAAAACATAATAAGTACCCCTTCCTCATCTACACTGATTTTTCTGAGGCCTTTCTTTCTCTGTCTTAGCTTTGGGTGAATGGAAAAGCCAGGGAGGATTCTGTATTGCTCACTATCCCAACAGTAATAACAAAGGGCAGATTCTTGAGTCCCACTCCAACTTTCCAAATTAGAATCTCTGGAAGTGGAAATTAGGAATCAAGATTTTTAGCAAAATTCTTCAGGTGATACATAAAATTGAGTACCATTGGCTATAACTTCTGTATTCTCAAGCCTTTCTTCTGAGAGAAGGCACTAAGATTGCAATAGGATGTAGTTGTTCTAATGGTGCTTGTGCTGATGTGGGCTTGTGGTGGGGAAGCTAAGCACATAGACATGAAAAGCTATGTGGAGTAAGACTTGAGGGAGAAATGCAAATGATAAGTTGGAGGGGTATCTCCTTCCTATAGTACGGTCTAGAGATACAGGAGAAATAAAAATATGAAAAAAAGGCTATTTTCTGTGTAGTGCTATAACAACTTCAGAAATCATTAAGAATGTCTCAGATTAATATTGCTGTAACTTGCATTTAATTAGACCAGTAGCTTGAAGCATGTATGTTTAATTTTCACAGTTCACGCATCATGGATTGGTTTTCTACTTCAAACCTTAAAATAACAGACAAAATGGTGATTACTAAGCTTTGTGCTGCCTGCAAGCTCCCTCATATCAGTAACTAATATTTATTGTTCTCAGAAGGAGTATAGTACTTATAAAAGACAAGAATTTGTGAGGTTAGGGGCATCTAGGTGGCTTTGTCAGTTAAGCATCTGACTTTGCCTCAGGTCATGATCTCATGGTTCATGAGTTTGAGTCCTGCATCAGGTGAGCTCCCACCCTGCTTTGGGTGAGCCCCTCTTGTCTCTCTCTCTCCCTCTCTCTCTGTTTCTCTGCCCCTCGCTCACTTGTGCCGTCTCTCTCGTTCTCAAAAGAAAAAAAGAAAAAAGAACAGAATTTGGGAGGTTAGCTACGGAACTGCATTATTTTATCATTGAGTTAAACCTATAGCGAATAACTGCATTATCTGTCTGAACTTTCATGTAAGTTTTGCTGAAGATAAAATATGTAGAAAGCACTTAAGAAGACAATCCTATCATTTTTGAAAATAAATACATTCTGGCAACTTTAAAATTGAACCTCTGTAATGGGCTCATACGCCTTTTGAGCAGATTTTGATAGTTATTTTTTCAACATGATACCATTAATGTGATTAATATTATTTATGATATGAAATATTAATATTACACATTGTTTATGTAAAATATAATGATAATGCCAAATGTAAAGCGTATAAGTAGATATAATTGAATGTAAAGTAAGAAACATGGTGTGGTAATTGTAAAATCAATTTTTTGTAAATATTAGGTATATATTAAATGTTTAATAAAAAACACAATTCTTAAAAAAGAGTAGCTACCTGTTACCCATCAACCGTAACAGGTATACTAATCAAGAGACAACCATGACCAGCTGAGCTTTAGGAAACATGTTTAAATATGTGATACAGCAAGAAGTTTAGAGATAGGACACCAGGAAAGAGAATTCATTCTATCCCGTCTTTGAGTAGGCCAGTGTGGGCAGGGGAGTCCCAGGGTACGGTGGGAGTGCGTGCAGGCAGAATGTCTGAAAACATCAATGTGTCCAGTTTGACCAGTCCAGTCAGTACTGATGATTCCTCTGACCCAGACAGGAACAATCAAAAAGCCCTCTTGACAAGCAAACAGGGCCTCTACAGCACCATAATACCCTCCTGGCCCGACATCTGGGCACGTAAGGAGCTATCACCAGCCCCTAAGAGCAGACACATCCTCCCTACCTGAGCCCAGATAATTCAGTGGCAGATCCTGTCTCTCTCCCAATCCTACCCTCATGTTCTCAACCCTGCCCACAGAACCCTACCCATGGCCACTGGAGGCACCCCAGTATGCTGGTGCAGATGCAGCCTCTGAGGTCAGACAGCCCCAGTTCAAGTTTCTACCCCACCACGTAAACTGTCAGTACCCAGTTTGTTCTCGTTGTAAAATCCATAGCACTGAAGCAAAAATGAAAAGAGTTGATGCGAAGTACAGGGCACTGGCCTTGGCACAAAATAAGTTGTCCATAAATGGGTGTTAGGCTATTGCTGTAAAGTATGTGAGCAAGTTATCTCTGATTTTAATGCAGTGTGGTTATCCGTGGATGTCGCCTGGATGCTTGGGCATTCATTGGCTTTACTGATGACTGTGACTTAATCAAACATGATCCTTTGTTTAATTTAAACAAAATAATGAATAGACAGGTAAAAAGGTGAACAAACGGACTTGAAATAACTTCATGCCCTTTGTGTATTTGTAAGTGATTTGGATTCTAACAGTTGAAATGCCACATTAAACAAGGCACTTGTAACTATGAAGAATTAAATCACTAGCTCTGCTAAAATTGCAGTTACTGAATTTTGACTTCATTGTGAATATGGCTTAAATGGCTTAATTCCAGCTATTCACTAGTAGTTTCTTGGTGTGAAGATGTTGCAGGCCAAAAGCACATTTAGAAGTCCCTGCACACTTTCAAACTGTAACTTCATCTGCATATAACACAAATGTTAGCCTTGACCAATACATTATTAAAGGACATTACGTATGGAAAATTTTTCAACTTTGTTGCATATGAAAATTACTCAACTTTTTAGGTTAGACTGTAAGCATCACAATAGGTTTTATTTGCTGATTTTAACTGTGTGTAAATTCAGTGAGCCGCTAAACAGGAGAGTTCTCCTGAAACCCCTTTCCCTTACTACCATAGCTGTTGTGGTTGCCTGAAGAAACCCTGGACCAAGATGCAATCTCTACAGTGGAATGTGATCTAAGGCGTGGTTCCCAAACGTGGCCATATGTTAGGATAAACGTAGAGATTTAATGTAAAAATAATATATATTTTTAAAGTCCTCTCTCCATTCTAGACTCATAAAATCAGAGATAGAGAAAGGGAAGCAGGCGACAGTGTTCTTTAAAAATACTCCAGGTGATTCTATTGTGAAACTGAAGTTGAGGACCACACTCGAGCTAGAGATTGAGATGATTTAAGATAAGTGATAGAAATTAGCACTAACTGAGGTTCTTTCTATGATCTGATCAGAAGAATAAAAGTTAAAGGAATGTTTTTAAAGACTGGTTCAGAGAAATTCAAGCATATTTTAGGATGGGCACACATAGTTCTGAAATACCTACTACGAAGATCTGTAGAAAGTAACTGTGGTGGATGTAAAGTTCCTTATATGTCTTTTTCATAATCTTCAGGAGAAATGTAGAGCCATCTAAGTGGAAAGCAATCCTAGGACTGCAGATGACATCGAATCTGACTTCTCCTCACATAGTAACTCGGTTGATAGATCAAATTGTCATAAACCCACATTACAATAAACGAATAAAGGACAGTGACATCGCCATGATGCATCTGGATTTTAAAGTGAACTACACAGGTAAAAGAAATCAGTTTTAGTCATCTTATCTGGCCAAATGCATTCAAAGTTAGATTTGAAATATTATTAGTACCAATGAATTAATAGTGCATAAAAGTTGGATAATTTGTTATAGAAATCATTATAACTTAAATGGAATTGGGGAATGGAGTGGAACATATTCAATTATCTTCATCAAGGTGTCTAAATCCAACTTTCTAGAAAGTTGGCCAGCAGAATAAAACATTCCAAGCTCTCTGTAATAGTAAACTCAAAGGAGCAGCTGGGAGAAAATAGGTCATTACAATGCATGCCTTCTGTATTTCTCAAAGAAAGGCAGGTCCATCTACCACAAAGAGCAGTGTAGGACAAACAGAGAAGAACATATATTCTAAGAGTAAAGTGAGTAAAAATTAAAATATCCATAGAATGAAGATTTTAAAGGAGTTTCAACAATATTAATAGAGTGGCAGCTGGAAGACTTCCTCCAAATACCTAGATAACATGCTAGAAATCATCTGAGGGAGTGAACTTTACACGAAGGGTTCTGCTCAACTCCATCCTTTACTCCAAAGACTTTTCCAACCCCCAGTGAAGAGAAAGTGCTACCATTTCTGTGCTCTTTTGGAATTTGGTCTACACACACATTAGAGCACTTATTAAAGGCAGACTATTAATTATGTAGCCCTGTTCTTGAAGGTAAGCACCATATCTTACTCATTTTTGTGTCTGCCCTGGGTCTTACATGTAGTGGGTGCTTAATAAATGTCAGGCAGCTTGTAAATTGTTGGAAAGGGGCTTTAAAAGTCAGTGACCAATGCTAATGCTTCCATAAGTACCCTGTAAAACAATCACCTAAAAGCTTTTTTAAATGTGGAGATAACTGGGGAAAATCAGAACATTTGTCCAAGTGTCTTAATTGACCCTAAAGAAGAGCCATACCAAGATTTTTACAGAACCGACACTGTAAATAGCATGATTACTTAAAATCAAATATAAATGACCAACTCTAGAACTAAGACCTTGTTTACATTATTAAAGAGTAATTAGGATACAATGTAGAAAAAGATCCCAAAAAGACCACTAGTGATACCTAGTCCATTATCAAAGAGTGCCTCCTGGAGATGCCTCTTTCCCCTAAGACTGATGTCTAAAAAATGTTCAAGCAATTGATGTCTAAAAAATGTTCAAGCAACAAAAACAAAAATACAGGTTTTTTAGATAACGTGCTGAAAATAATTGATTTTTAAAAATCTGTTAGAAATGCATGTGTGTCTGTTCTTATTCTGTTTTTCCAGATTATATACAACCTATTTGTTTACTGGAAGAAAATCACGTTTTTCCTCCAGGAAGAATTTGTTCCATTGCTGGCTGGGGGAGGCTTATACATCAAGGTAAATTATCAGACTCAATAAAAAGAAAATGTCTACTACTAAGAAGTATGCTATTGCACTATCCTGTGAATATTTTCAATATTTTTTGAAATTCTTATAAGTTTTGCAATAGCTCTTAAAAGCACTGTCAGGTTTATATTCATATGGTGTGTATTTGTGTGTGTGTATATATATATATATATTAATCCAGGTTGTGTAGAACATATTATAAAACTATATTTTTTGGAAGAGAGTTCAAGCATTCCCCAAACTTAGTATGTAATTTTAGTATTATAAATACTCTGATAAAGAGAAAAGATACATCTATTTAAATGAATATTACAAAGGTTATAAAATTTACTTTTGTAAATCACATAGATAAAGTCTGATCAAAAGCCAAATTATTACCTGTTTCATTTTCCAAATCAATAAAACTATCTTCATTTATCACATAAAGGCCTCATACTCACATTCCCTAAGAAATGAGAAACGAATCCCTTTTAACTTCAACATTCTGACTCACTCTACTGATGAGCAGATTCAGATGTGGCATAAATCTTACACTGAAGACTATAAATTGACTCGTTAGCATTATTTAATAAGATGTTTTCCAAACACAGAAAAGATGCATATTAAAACTAACTGAACATATTTTTTTAAACACTCCAGTACTTTATTCTCTCTAAATGTAACTACAAGCCATGTTGCTTTTGGATTCCTAATAGGAGTTATTCCATCTAGGACAGAATTTTGGCAACTTATTAAATATTAAGCAAAAAGGAAAGGCACTATATCCTCTGGTGGAAGAACCAGGCCTCTTGAGTCCCAACAGATCGTGGCCAAGATATTTAAAAATCTTAACCGTACAAGATGAAAAGCCACAGAATCGTGTGGAGAGATGCAGATACCAGAAGCAAAGCATCCAGAGTTAAAATTCCCATATTCCTTGTAAAAGAAAGGATGATGTTCTAAGTCAAATCTTTGCCTAATGATTTCGACAAAGGTTCTCCACTGTAATTACATTATGTTGCTGAAATGCCTCATGTCTTCTGTCCATAAAGTATATTGAAGTCAAAGACTGTATATTCTTGTATTTCCTCCACTTGAAAAATGCCATGATTTATTAAATTTGAAGCCTACAGAGTAAAAATGATTCCTAGATAGATATTTTCTCTATCAGACTTCAAACTAAAAGACATTTATGACCATGATGTAGACTCTTCAAAAACAAATTATCCACTAACAAAGTTTAAGACTCTTTATTCCATAGGAAATGGGTATTTCTTTTAAGAGCTGAGTAAACTTGACTCATTTATTTATTGTTACTAAAGATATGCATTTAATTGGCTTAAGAAAGGTCGCTAAGAGTGGTATGGAGCCAAGGGAAATCTGCATCTGTGATCAGTTTCATTTAGGAATAAATGGTCAGGTCATAATTAAATACTTCCTGGGTAATGGAAATTTTAATGAATTTTATGAATTTTGCCTTATGATTTCCAGATACCTAGTTGTGTAAAACCCAGTTCCCTTCCACCTTTTGAATATATTACACTAATCATCTAGGAAAACCATGAACATTGCTTTACTAGGAAGAAATGAAGTGATATTAGTTGACTAAATTAAGGCAATTAGTAAACTTAAAATAACTTTACTGATATTTTTATGTATGTCTTTTTGTGTGCATTCTTAATTATCCTAATGGCAATTCACATTGACAAATAAATATTAAATATAAAAATACTGCTCAAATTTTTCTTTACCGAAGAGTTTGTCCTAGACCCAACCATTTTTTTGTTCCTTGACAAGTAGCAAAATTGCCTTTGACTTTATAATAGTTTACAATAAAAACTCCTGGTCCATCTTCAATGAATGAATGGCATTGAGATGCTGAATTTCCTCCTCCATATTCACCTCTTTTACTAATTTTTTAAATGTTTATTTGAAAGAGAAAGAGAGAGGGGCGCCTGGGTGGCTCAGTCGGTTAAGCATCCTACTTCAGCTCACGTCACAATCTCGTGGTTTGTGAGTTCAAGTTCTGCCTCGGGCTCTGTGTTGACAGCTCAGAGCCTGGAGCCTCAGATTCTGTGTCTCCCTCTCTCTCTGCCCCTCCCCTACTCACACTCTGTCTCTCTCTGTCTCAAAAATAAATAAACATTAAAAAAAAATTTTTTAAAAGAAAGAGAGAGAGAGAGAGAGCAGGCAGGGTAGGGAATGAGAGAACAGGAGAGAGAATACCAAGCAGGCTCTGTGCTGTTAGTGCAGAGCCCAGAACACGGGGTCCAACCACACAGTGCTCCATGTTCATAAACCATGAGATCATGACCTGAGCCAACATCAAGAGTCGGACACTTAACTGACTGAGCCACCCAGGTGCCTCTCCATCTTCACCTTTCAAAACCTATTGTCAGACTTCAAAAGTCAACCAGTGGTATGCTGTTGGAGTCACCGGCACCAGCCAGAATTTGCCGTTTGTGCATATCTCCTCCCAACTCCTGTTCACTGTCATGCTGGTACCTTGAAATTGGCCATGGTTGGAGTGTTTACATCAGGCAAATGATATGTATCAGGGATTTTTTTCTTGAAAACCAGTTGTTAAACATTAAACACACCACTGAGTCATACACACACACACACACACACACATGCACATTTGTTTCCTGTCTTTTTAGTGTGTGGATTAAACTTAAACTTAGCTGGAAATGAAATCACATACATTTTTGCGGCAACATTTACTGCAACATATGAAGTCACATACATTTAGCTGTCATATGCACTAAGTTATCATCAACCTTCTGCCTTTCTTGAGGAACCAAATAGAATTGCTAATTAGTAGAAAGTGCTTATCATGTGCCTTTTCTGAGGCACCAGACAGACACCTGCTTGTTTCACATCCCTCTTGGGAGTAGTATTTCAGTAAACAGAGATCCATGCTTGCAGTAGATGAGTCATTTTATAAAAAGCATGGAAATACACTCTGTTACAAAACGCCTCCTTTCTCTTCACCTGCACGTGGATGACAAGCTGATTGCCCTTAGACCAGGGCACAGCTCATTTGAGCTTTGTCTTTTGCTCAGTGTGCACCTGCTCATTCACATAGCATCACAAAGTTGCTGAATGCCATTATGAGGGAGCACCTCTTCAGGTGCCAAATGAAAAGCCTCCTGGATTTCTGAGTTGTTGCTAATTTCTGTAAATGAAACGTTTTGTGTTGGTGGGCTTTTTTTCCCCATGAGCAATACTGTAACCATTTACAAATACTGAAAATGCCTAAAGACTGTCTAGTCCAATCCACCATTCCTGCTAGCCCTTGGGCACTAAAGAAGTACTTTACTGTTATCCATTTGGCAAGATCCACAGATGGGCTTTATTATGTGCTTTAAAATACTAAGGTTGAGCATTTAGTTCCATTATATATACACACAGTACTCGATAATGAGAGTGAACTGTTGGAGTAAATAAGACTGATGGTGGCTCATTCAGTGACGCATGCCGATCACTTCTGACTGGCTGGCTGCATTACCATTTTGAACAGGTCCTACTGCAAACATATTACAAGAAGCTAATGTTCCTCTTCTATCAAACGAGAAATGCCAGCAACAGATGCCAGAATATAACATTACAGAAAATATGGTATGTGCAGGCTACGAAGAAGGAGGAATAGATTCTTGTCAGGTAAATATGTAAAACTGCTCATCCTACCTTTCCAGAAAGCATTGCTATGTAATCATTTGATTGCTTCACAATGATTAGGGAAGAAAGAGATCGTCATTTCTTCTTTTACGAAAGTGTGACTTTTTGTTTTTTATTTGTGGCCTACTAGCATAGAACTTCTGGGTGGATGTGCGCATTACAAATAAAACTAATTTTTAAACGAGTATTAAAATCGGATAGAGTCTTTAGAGACGAGGCATAAAATTTGAATATGTGAGATAGGTGAAATATGTAGTGCTGGGCCCACTGTTAACCTGAAGAGTATACATCTTAGCTAAATCAAATTCTAATTCTTTAAAACCCTATACAAACTTAAAACAAACAAAAAGTAAATCTGAAGGCCAATATCACCTAATGGCTTCTAATTTTCAACTCTTGTTTTTGAATATGGGCCAAAGGTCCAGTGACAAAAAATAATTTTTTTTGTAACAATCAAATTTTTTAGGTTTATTTATTTTGAGAGACAGAGAGTGAACCTGAGTGAAATGAAAATTCAGATGCTTAACCGACTGACCCACCCAGGCGCCCCTCCAGGGACAAGAAATAATTTCTGCACAAGAACCAACCTGGATAACCTGGCTAGAGCCAGTTTGCAGCTAACCACTTGTAGGAAGGTTAAAAAATAGAACTTACTCAACAGCCTGGCATAACTCTGGATCTGGAACACCTACGGTAGAATTTTCATCTTACCATCTACATGGCATTTTAGAGATGTAATAACATGAACTCACTGAATGCCAACACGGCAATATATTTGAAGTATCCATAGCTTTTGACTTGTGTGACCATCAGAGAAACTTCTACCCACAAGCTACCCTCATTGAGGGCAAAAACATCTTACCACCTACAAATAATGTAGCTATCTGTTAACACCATGCAATCCACATGCACTCAACAAATAAAAAGTAAATTCTGTGAGATTTTAGAACAGTTATTAATTTTTAGGTGCAGCATGAATTAGTCATGAAGAGCATAGATTCTGTGCTCAGATTACACTTATTTTTCACCCTTGCCTTAATACTTATGGGTGAGACTTTGGGCAAGTCACTTAAGTTTTATTTAGAGGTTTAAAAATGAGGTAGCACATATAAGGCATTTAAGTAAGCACTCAAAAATATTAACAATTTTCATTATAAGACTTTGTAAATAAAGTTTCTGGCATTTTTTTATTTGAAAATTAATAAGATATTGATGCATTAACATCCACTGAATTAGATTAAACCTGATAGCAGTATTGAGCAAATGAATAATATACAAATGCAAAAGTAGTAATTTATACCATGAGAAAATCTTTCACTTTGTTAAAGTGTAAACAACTTGTTACAGATATTAACACACATATGTCACACACAATTCTACTTGATACAAGACTTTTTTCACATACACTTAAGCAGATGAATCTTTATATATATCTTCTTTATCTTTATATATATCTTTATATACATCTTATATGTATCTATATAGTTAAGTCTGTGTCTCAAATCACGTTAAACTTTCAGCTTGGTTTTGCATTTATTCTGCTTGCATGAACACTTGCAAATTCAAGACAGATAGGATAGCTTTCTTGTTTAAAATTTATCTCTGGATCTTATTCGTTTTAAAATGAAAAGTGTGCAAAGGTAAGATATATTGCCACTTAGAGGGAGATTTATAGAATTATCGTTCAGGAGGGAAATCAGCTGTACAACGTCAATTACAGTTAATGGGGGCTGTGTGGCAGGAGCCTCATGCACCGGGTAGAAAATAGGGCTGCCGATGCTACTGATATTAGGGTTACATTAAGTCAGTAACTCATGCCAAATCTCTGAAATCTTATATTTGGCTCTGATTTCTAGGGAGTCTAAGTATGTTGTTCATTAGCAAGGAAGGAAGCTCCCACACAGGGAAATGTCTTGTGTAACATGGTATCGTGATTGAGTAATCAGTAGTCTAGAGGGTCACATGATTTTCTTTGTTCAACTTTAATACTATGTTATACAAGAGGATTAACTAACTAAATAAGAACACAATGGGGCACCGGGGTGGCTCAGTCCGTTAAGCATCTGACTTTGGCTCAGGTCATGATCTTGCGGTCTGTGGGTTCGAGTCTCGCATGGGGCTCTGTGCTGACAGCTCAGAGCCTAGAGCCTGCTTCTGAGTCTGTGTCTCCCTCTCTCTCTGCCCCTCCCCCACTCACACTCTTTCTCTAAAAAAATAAATAGTAAACATTAAATTTTTTTAAAAATGAGAATACATTAAAATTATGAATATGCCATTACTGATATATCACTTGAATAAGCTCTACGAAGCATTATTTTCCCCCTATAGTTGCAAAGAATTTGCCTTATTAGTCCTCCATATATTCTTAAATATCTTCTGGCTTACCAAGGGCTTGTGTTTTGGGGGCAGATGTCTGGATTTTAAGGCACAAGTGGCTGTAGAGGTCCTCTCTCTATAAAACTAAGTGAATGACACAAAGAGCAAACTCATTTTGCTATGTAGAGCCTTATTCTGTACCAGTGGTTTTCTTTTTCTTTTTCTTTTTTTTTTTTTCAATGTATATTTTTTAAGAGAGAGAGACAGAGAGCATGAGCCGGGGTGGGGCAGAGAGAGAGGGGGGCACAGAATCTGAAGCAGGCTCCAGGCTCTGAGCTGTCAGCCCAGAGCCAGATGCAGGGCTCGAACTCACCAACTCGTGAACCATGAGATCATGACCTGAGCCAAAGTTGGCCACTTAACCCACTGAACCCCATATACCAGGGGTTTTCAAAGCACAGCTTCCAATCCAGCAGATCAGAATCACCTGAGAGCCTGCTCTAGGTGCCAATTCTCAGGCCCAGCACAGACCTGCTGAATCAGCAACTCTAACCTGGGGCCCAGCAATGTGTGTGTTAGCATACTTAAACCACTGGTATAGAAACATAAATTTTAGGTTAATGCTTTATTTTCTGGACAGTCACTCATATTTTTTAAGTACATACATATCTCTCAGCTAGTGGAAGAAGGAAATATCTTCATTGGAAATAACCTCCAACTGACATGTTGGGCGATTTAAAATCCGTGTTCGTGGAATCAAGGTCTAGATTCTATTGTCTTTTTAGAAATTAAGATATATTAGAAAATATGAAGAAAACTAAATGACTCCTTTAAAAAATATCCAAACTGTTAAAGTTTTATTTTTTAATAATTTCTAGGTTACATGTAACTTTGAGCCTGTATTTATCCTTAATTGTTCCATAATTATTTCTGGACCCATATTATAAACTAAGGGCTTAGGGTACAGAAATAAAACCCCCAGTCCCGGCCTTCCAACAGTTTGAACACATTTGTTACATCTAGAAAAGAGGTAACCTGTGTTTGCCAGTACAATTTATGTTCCTCTGTACCCAAGCAAGAAAAGGTGCTTTTATACACCACATACTGCATTTTTCCCCTTAAATATGATCCCAAAGACAATAAAGATTCAGGCAAAAAGTATCTCAGGAAAATGTTTAAGACAAACTTGGGATGAACTATTGTACCAATGATTGCAACCAAAGTACACAAGGCTTTAATTCCTTCATATAAGAAAATATTAAATATAAGAAAAGATTAAAAGTATTGCACAATGAGTATGAGAGATATTTGTCAATTCCATCATTAAAAAATGCCACTATGTGTTTGTATCATGTTCTTTTGCATTACACACAAATATTCATGTGCAAATCAAATATATGTAATTAACTCTATTAGAAACTGCTATAATTAAGATTTTCAAAAATTAAAAACAACTCATCAGTTAAAATCTCTTATGAAAATATGTGTGCCTATTACTACAGGTTATATCATAGGCCAATTTCAGTTGAAATGTTAAGATTTTTTTTCAATTCGGATGGTGTCTAATGCCCAAAAGTTAATGCTACCCGAAAGAACTAAAATCAACTTCATGTGTGAGTTTTTAGTTTCTGTAAACACACAATGTGTGTAATAAGTGCCTTTTCTGCAAAGTCACCCCTAATACTTAGAACATACTTCTTTTTGGTTTTATTTTTTTTGTTTCACGTTTTTATTTAAATTCCAGTTCATTAACATATAGTGTAATATTAGTTTCAGGAATAGAATTTAGTGATTCATCACATCTAACACCCAGTGCTCATCACAAGTTCTTTCCTTAATACCCATCACCCCTTTAACCCATCCACCTGCCCACCTCCCCTCCAGCTACCCTCAGTTTGTTCTCTGTAGTAAGTCTGTTTTATGGTTTGCCCCTCTCCCGTTTTCCTCCCATATTCATCTGCTTCGTTTAAATTCTACATGAATGAAATCATCATACCTCCTTTACTAAATGATCAGATTTTAATATATATTTTGGTTAGGATGCTCCTCATAGTTGTGCCTTAGAGATTTTCTTAGTCCCTATTAAAATGCCATAATGAAAGTAAGGAAACTTGCTATGAAAGTACATCATGAAGAATTACATATAAATTATGTTTTCGTTCTCATGGTTTCTCTGGGTCCTTACCAAGCAGCAAAAGGTTCTCTTTCTTGACAGAGAGTGCTGGTGAAGATGTATACAGATGACTTTCAATTAAAGCATATTTTTGACATGTAGTTTTGAACTGGTTTGCTAAAAAATAATCTTATATATCAATTGAAAACACATCTACGGGGCGCCTGGGTGGCTCAGTCGGTTAAGCGTCCGACTTCAGCTCAGGTCACGATCTCGCGCTCCGTGAGTTTGAGCCCCGCGTCGGGCTCTGGGCTGATGGCTCGGAGCCTGGAGCCTGCTTCTGATTCTGTGTCTCCTTCTCTGCCCCTCCCCTGTTCATGCGCTGTCTCTCTCTGTCTCAAAAAATAAATAAACGTTAAAAAAAAAAAAAAGAAAGAAAACACATCTATAATTTTCTTTTGCAATTTACTCTTTAGGGGGATTCAGGAGGACCATTGATGTGCCAAGAAAACAACAGGTGGTTCCTGGCTGGTGTGACATCATTTGGATACCAATGCGCACGGCCTAATCGTCCAGGGGTCTATGCCCTGGCCCCGAGGTTCACAGAATGGATACAAAGTTTTCTGCAGTAGAGTGTTTCCTAAACCAACATGAAAGCCATGTGGTTTTCCCATTCCACTCTAAAGAGCATGGGAATTGAGAGTTTGACAAAAAAAGATTTCTAAAAGGCTTTATTCTTACCTAAGCCATCTAAATGCTGAGGATTAAGGGTGAAGACAAAAAAATAATCTGTACCGTACAAAGTAACTTTTTCATTGTGAACAGTTAATCTTTCACAGAGATTACAATCTTTCCTTTGTGATCATTATCTTTATCATACTCTTCTTATTTAAAGGAATGCTATGTTAAAGCATATACTGCATTCTTAAAGTTTTGGCAAAATTAAGAAAAGAAGTAAAATAAACTATTTTGCACAGTATGTTATTTTTTGAAGTAAACTGCTGTAAATTATCTAGTTCCACCTTGCTATTTTCAGAATCTCAGTAGTCTTCCTGATTTTCTATCTAAATGCATTTCCAATTTCCAATTCATCTTGAGCATATCCTTAATATTTTCCCCACTCATAACAAATATGTACTTTAGGCTCATGTCACAAACCTGGACTAAATTGATTACACATTCCTCTCAAGATAATTAAACAGCAAACAAGTGCAAGTCTACAGATCACCCCTGTATCGAAATAGAAAGGAAATTAAATGATATTTCCATTCTTTTATTGGATCATTTTTTACCTGCATTAATCGCACCGTCCATTTATTTTAAGCTAATATTTTTTTAAGTTTCCAAAAAGTAATCAGACATATCCAAAAAATGCAACTATTACAAATGTTTTTTTTTCTGATCTATGTGTCTTACAGTGGATGTTTTTAACATGTGCAAAACTTACTTAGACACAGCTGAATCACCCATTAGAAGGCCAAAAATGTGGAATAAATGAATTTGCTTCACTGCTTTAATCTCTTGGATCATTTCCAGAGTATGTGCAAACTTCTATTTAGCTTTCCACACAAAATCTACTGATTTATTTGGGAAGACAAAATCCACACCTACTTAATACACACACACACACACACACACACACACACATACACACACACACATGTCTATATAATCACAAGTAATAGAAGAAAGAATAAGGTTAAGGGATTGTAGACTGGCCCTACCAAACAAGAAACAAGATGGGGCTACATCTGAAAGGAATGATTCTTATTGAGGTATTGAAGAGAATTAGGGCCTCTGTGTAGGTGGAGGTTTAGGGAAGTTCAGATAATCATGTGTTGTACCAAAAGTCACTATCTTGGGGGGAACAGAGAAACAGAAAACAATGTCATATAAAAAGGTGTGGCCAGATAATTGGGGACTACAAATTCCTGGTAAACAATCACGGTATTTATTCTTATGACAAAAGTCAGGAGTCTCTGAACACACTACTATTTTTAAGACCTTTCCAATGACCTGAACTTAGGAGCAGTTGGAAAGGATGAAGCGGCAGGTATTGTTTGATCTTACTACCTGGATATTGTTCCACAATTCACCTACATTCCAAAACATGTATCTGAACTATGCTCTGAAAATACAAACACAACAGATACATCATGTACTCCTTTTCATTTTTCAAAGGTCAGCTAAAATTTTAAGAAGCCCTAAGGACAGTGTCACTGTCATCTTTTAATAAAAAGGAAGTTGATTGCCCCACTCCTCGTTATGTATGGGGTTAGTAACTGATACTGGAACAGTTACGCGGATCTGGATCAAGACAAAAGGCAAAACCACAGCCCTTGCCCATTGCCTTTCCTCTCCTGACCTGCAGCTGTTGTAGTCATGGGTGGCACAGAAGTGGGGGAAAGCGCTGTCTCCTTCCCATCAAGTCCTGACTGAAGGAAGAAATGCACAGCGGGAGCTTGGAGGGAAGAGGTAGAGCCCAGTCAATGTGGGTAGCCAAGCAGAGAAAGGGGGTGCTAAGTGTGGGCAGATGGAAGTTTACAATACAGCTGTCCATGCCCTCAGTCTCCAAGCAGCAGAAAGGGGGCCAATGCCCACTCATCTCTATTTGTCTTTAAGTTTCACCAACCAACACTAGTCATGATTGCCTTAATGAAAGCTCTTTATTTTCTAACATCAAAGGTTTAACAGGGCAAAGATGAGGTTTAACATGCTCTATAACTCCAACTTCCATTCATACCATACTTTAACAGTAATTTGTTTTCATCTTCATGTGCTGATGCAAACAGATCTATATTTTGTTCACTTAAAATATTTAGACAACACCCACGGCCATTCGTCAGAAACAAGAACTTTTTATTTAGTTAAAAGGAACACAGGGACATTTGAAGACCAGATAGTTACAAGTCTCTTGAGGAGACACAAGCATTGAAGAAACTAGCAGAAGACCAGAGGAGCCGCAGTTCACTCTCTCAGACGAATCCTCAACACGAACACATGATTGATCACTGATGCCCTCCAACCCATTTGCACACTAAATCATAGTTTCTCTCCTTCATGAAATGTCAGTGTGCTGTGCTTACCTCCACATGGACGGTGGTGACGACGCACCTGGTCCCAACCATAAGACCACCTTACATGCTAATGGAGGCTGAACAGAGCCATGGAAAACCTTAGGCACACTCTGCAGCTGCTTTCACTGCTAATCCCCACCCCCAAACAACTGTCTTTGTTTTGTGGGCAAGGGAAGGACCAACTCGATTCCAGAACCCCTTAGAGAGCTACTTGTGGTTATATAGGCAACATGTGAAGACATATGATTTATATTGTGTATGCCATTTTTTTGTTCTAGACGGAGTATAATATTGTTTATACAGCTATTAACAAAGTTATTACAAAATCTGTTGAATTTTAAACTAAAAATAATTGTAAGGCACATGTCTTGCACAATTGAAATTAGACAGTTCTTGCCTCTAAGTAAAATATTTGAGTAAATTTACACCACAGTTAATGAAATAGCTTCTTATTTCTGAAGAGATTTCCTAAACACTGTCTGACCCCAGAGCAGAGAAACTGAAAGAAGATGAACCATTTCTAGAAAAGAAACATTTTCTGTGGTAATTTATCTATGTGTGTGTGGATTCAGCTGAAAATAGTGATAAATTTCTTTAATCAAAACAGCATGTACTGAAAAATGAAACACCATAAAAATAAATATTAGAACAGTCCATTTTTATCAAACACTTATGTAAAGGTAAAATATTTTTGCACACTGTAAACTTTAATACAATTTACATTACGTGAACTAGATTACAACTTATGAAAGGTGAAAGAAACAAAAATAACTGCCTCCAACACATACACTTCTCTAATGTGTTGACAGCAATTTTATTTGCATGGTCCATTCCATTTACTTGAAGTTTGGGTGCATCCTTTAGCGATAAGCATGTCTCACTCCATTGTTAGCACAGCGTATTTTGTAAATGAAATAACCAACATATAAAAATTATTTTAATATTTGCCTCAAGGGGGAGCTTACAGTTCATCTTGCAGATCCTCTGAGATTTCAAGCCATTCCAAGCGAATGTTCTAGATGCCATTCCTTATGCAGATCCAGAATTCTAAAATTCTATTTTCTGTGCTGGGGCCAAGTCGATGGATTCTTATACTTCCATGCCACTTTCTTTTCTGGTGCTTTTTGAAATCCACAGGGTGGACTGGTTTGGGCTAGTTTTTGTTCTTCCTTTACTGAAAAACATAAGAAGAAGTAAGTTCAATGCCTGAGACTTATTACTGAAATAGGCATGTTTTGGTCCCAGGGGAGATATTGCAAACCCTTCTTATGAAAGGGTCTTTCTTCTCTCACCAGCACATCTACAAAAAATTCCAGATTATTCCAGAATGTGAAGATGGTAAATAGACCATGTAAAATAATGAAAAAAATAGAATGATCTCTGTTTGACACTTTGTAGTACAGAATTCAGACACATTCACACGCACACGCACGCACACACACACACACACACACCACAAATATGTCTGAAACAATACCAACAATTTTCATTATAATCACCAATAAATCTTCATTTTATTTGATAAGTGATTTTGAAATTTTGCTTTGTGGATATTCTTCCATTCACATATGCTGCATTGAATGCTAAAGGATTGAAACAGTGTTTTTGTCCTAAGTATAAAGACCTTCCTAATCACCATCCCTCAGTTTTCCTTTTTTATAGTTAAGTGACTTAATCCCTGAAAGTTTGGTTTGACTTCAGTCTCTGCAACCAATGTAGTTCAAAGTAGATTCAGGCCTTGATAACTTTGTTCTTCTAGACCTGAGACTGAACTTCACTCTCCTTGGACGTGGAATCTGAGCCCACATTTCCAGCCCCTGTATCAGAGTTGGCTGTCTCCTCACTCTTTCCATAAAATGGCCACTGCTCAGGCTCCTGCAGAAGTGCCCATTCCTGAGTTTATGTAAGTCATCCTCCTCTAGGCTACTTATCAAGATCTAGATTCCTTTGGGTCTAGTTTCCAGAGAATGAACCCTCACCTGGATCAAGTAACCACTTCTGGTCCCTTGTGTCATGCACTTCCTGCCCCACACAGACCTCCCTTCCCCCGCATCTGCCCCACTCCCCACAGGTACTGCATTCCAGTTACTCTCAGTGTAGGTGGGGAGGGCAGAACTCCTTCAAAGAAAGAAAAGAACTCTTCCTAACAAGCCTGACCAATACAATTTTATAATATTAATTGACTTCAGTTTAACTGTGATTTTACTACTAATAAAATATGTCCAAATTATAGGTTTTGGAGATTTGCTTCCAAATAAGTAAGATCAACACATCTTTATCTATGAAGTCATCTAACATGAAGGAAAAAAACAAATCAAGCAAAGTTTATAAATAACATGACATTTTTTAAATGGTAAATAAAGGCAGTTAAGTTATGAAGGTAACTTTTTTGTGTAGCATTAGTATTTCATTTAAGAGTTACTACCAGTTAAGGAAACAAGAGTTACTATTTTGAACATGACATGGAATGATATAAACCATCATGTGTACCAGATTGGAATTTAAACTTTCTGCAAGGCACTCAGATGATAATGGAGTTGAGTCTTTGATGAAGGTTCTCCTTGCTTTCCTGGAAGAAAGGAAAAGGGGAGGATCTAAGAACGAATGAATTAAGCACTACATCTAAGTCGGGCATCTGGAGGTACCCTACTTTGGTTTATTTTCTCACTCTGGGAATTTCAAACAAGTGAAAACTCCATAGATCTTCAAAAACCTGGAAGACTTTTGCATGAATAGAATCTCCACAATAATACACTACTTGGAAGAAGGAAAACAAACTTTAAAGAAAACTCAGTTATTGGCACTATAGTAATTTTTATTTTAGAGATGACAATGCCTGCATAATATTTTTAAATCAATTTTTCTTTTTTTATAAATGTTTTTCCATAGATAATAGATCTATCCATAGATATTATAGATCTATCTATAGATCTATATTATCTATAGATCTATCTATAGATCTATTATCTATAGATCTATCTATAGATCTATTATCTATAGATCTATCTATAGATCTATTATCTATAGATCTATATTATCTATAGATCTATCTATAGATCTATTATCTATATATATGTGTGTATGTATATATGTATATGTATGTGTGTGTGTGTATATATATATATATATAAACATTTTTTTTAGAGAGAGAGCATGAGCAGGGGAGAGGGGCAGAGGGAGAGAGAGACAGAATCTTAAGCAGGCTTCACACACAGTGTGGAACCCAACTCTGGACTTGATCCCATCACCCTGGGATCATGATTTGACCTGACACCAAGAGTAGGATGATCAACCAACTGAGCCACCCTAAAATCGGTTTTTCAAGCTGATTTGTTATTTACAGCTCTTCCTTAACAGTTTTCTGGGTTAAGGGGGGATTTATATCACATCCTTCCTCTACTTCTCTGCTTTTCACAATGACTAATCATCTTTTCATCTCGAGTCTTAGGACGTGAAGAAAGAAACGAGATATTTACTATCGTCTTTTTTCTGTACAAAATATTACAAAATTTCTAACTGTGCTTCACCTATATATTGGAAAACCCAGAGGATACAAAGTGTAGTATTAATTTGCCAGGCTTTATTTCTCATTACTCAAAATGTCTTATTTAAACAGCCTGTACAACACACTTTGGATCCTTTAAACAATTTATGTGAACCATTTACAGTTTATATCTATTTAATTGTTTCTTTCTAGGGTTTTTTTTACTTAGTGGATTCTTTATGGTCTATTTCAGAACAGATGAAGATAAACTAAAATCCAAAGAGAAAAATGACTTCATTTGCAGTCCTTCCCTGATGACGGCACTGTCTCGATCAGTTCTTATTTAAAATACTGACAAAGATGGCTAGTTTATTCTAGCAAATATGTTCTTATTTAAATCCAACATCTTTTCCTTTTTCTTTTAATATATATTTATATTTCATATATTAAAATGAAAAAAATTTCACCTCTAACTCAAGGGTATATGGCTAAATAGATATAAAAGAATACTCCGAAGAATCTTGCTGTTAAGATATATCATTTTGGCTGAAGATGCATACTAAAAGTGACATACTTTTACCATTGTACTTGATTTCCTCTACTCAGAAGACCCTTTGGAAATACACAAAAGCCTATGACTTAAATTTTTGAAAAAGTATTATAGAGTGCACTTACAAAAATCAAGTCTTGCATACAACTTGGGGTCAAGATTGAAAGGCTTAGCATTAATGCTTATATGTAAGAAACAAGAGTCAGTATAGAGTAGTTGCATATGTTGTAAGCTTACAAAGATTCAAATTTCAGATCCACCACCCACACAAGCTGTGAGAACCAAAGCAAAATTGCGTAACCCATCTAAGCCACCATCATCTCAACCGAAAAACAGAAACAAAAGGGCACCTACCTCATATGACTTGTGAATATTAAGTGAGGTAATGCATGAATCCTGTATTCAAGGCCTATCTTATTAGACTGGATACACGGGGTGTGTACTGACAGATAGGAAAATCAGAACTTTCTCTCTTTATTTTTTAAGTGGGAGTGGAGCCCCAACCTGGGGTTTGAATTCATAACCATGAGATCAAGACCCGAGCTGAGATCGAGTCAAACACTTAACTGACTGAACCACCCAGGTGCTCCAAAATTCAGAACTTTCTTGAGACAAAGTAAAACTATAATTTACACTACTATTTTTAAAGAGTTATAAAAACCTACATAAAACTTTTTAAGTTGTCTCTGCATACATGAATTATTTACCTTTTATGCAGCATCTGGAAACAGCAGGTTCCAAAAGCGACCAGTATCAATAAAAGCAGTGGGATCGTTGGTATAACAACATAGATTAGATTAGGAATTATGCCTACAGAAGTAAAACAGTCAGTAAAAAAGATGGCAGAGGCAGAATTCTCACACTAACATTATATAAAATTGCCCAAAAATTCAAGGTAAAATAAAATTATTATAATTAAATTCCAAATAAATTTCTTCCCAAAATATTAAATAACCTAATAGAATAATATATTCAGGTTTAATAAAAATTAAAAACAAAATCATATTTCACTGGTTGCCATGCTTCAATTCAGTGTCTATATTTCTAAACCTACGATTAAATCTACAGTTCAGATAGAGGCTAGTTTTCATAACATATTAATAATCTTATCTATCTCACTTCATTAATTCTCAGCTATTACTTAGGAAAACAAGCACTGATTATTAAAGTAATTGTTGATTTATTGGTCATATAATCATCCTAACCAATAAGGTCAGTGCCATGATGATACTTAAGACTTTGGGATTAAATCAAAATACAAAAAAATTAACTGATGATACAGTCATAAGCCAGAGACACAAGACCCCAGAAGCATAAAGACTTGATCTTAATTAAATTCTAAAATGAATCATTTTTTAGTCCTGTTCCATTACACAATATTAAGTATTCTTGGAAAAGTAAAAACTGCCACACTTCAGTCCCAAACAGACTAAAATGACTTTATTGAACATTTTTTCAATGTCATAAAAGGGAAAATATTCCTAATATAATTATTTACTAATATTTTTAGTTAGGTTTAGATGTTCTGAATGATTTTAAAATCAGGCACCTGAAAAGTAAAAAGCACTAAGGTTTAATGTCATGTTCATACAAGAAAAGCAAATTGAAAAACTATGCATTTAGCTAGCAAATCAAAAGTTGTCATCATTACCAATCTGAACAATTCTGTTCAAAATGGACCAGACTTAGGGGCGCCTGGGTGGCGCAGTCGGTTAAGCGTCCGACTTCAGCCAGGTCACGATCTCGCGGTCCGTGAGTTCGAGCCCCGCGTAGGGCTCTGGGCTGATGGCTCGGAGCCTGGAGCCTGTTTCCGATTCTGTGTCTCCCTCTCTCTCTGCCCCTCCCCCGTTCATGCTCTGTCTCTCTCTGTCCCAAAAATAAATAAACGTTGGAAAAAAAAAAAATCAAAATGGACCAGACTTAGACCAAACTATCCATTTTACTGTACAGCACGTCCTTTATTAACTAAAGATATATTATTATCTGAGGTCCAGTGATGGGGTATGCTTTTACCTACTCTTGAGCCCCTGACATGAAACTTCAAGCATTTTAGGATTCAGGAAATATTTTCGTTCCTTTTCAAAATACCATCATGGTCCTTTATACATAACAGTAAAGAAAAAGAGAAAGTATGTCCTACTCTTCCTCACATTTTAGATCACCTGTGGAAAGATTCTGAGACTCTGGCTCTTTGGCTCAATCTTCACAAAGCAACTAGGAAATATCAAGATTTCTGTCCCAAAATCACAGGACCATGCAAAAAGGAGCACCAAACTAATTCTTAGAGCAGTTTCTGACTGGGATTCAAATCCTAATCAGGGAATGTGCAATCTGCACTGGGATTTCATGATTTCTTTTGCAGACTGGTGTGCTCAGGACAGCTGGGTTGAGAGCTAATTATACCTACTCTGTCCACCCTGTTCACCAGTGATGTCACCTTGATAGCTTGAAATCAGCCATGGTGGGAGTATAATATAACACAGGAATCTACAAAGGCTACAAATCAGGCTTTTTCTTTTATATCCACTCCCACACTGGTCTCTCCCTAAACATTTACCAGCACACCACTGTCTGCCGGCCGCTGAATGTGCTGATGTACATCATAACGCTTACACGTTGTTGGGGAAGTTCCCTGTGAATCCAGGTTTCCATGTGGATTACTTGGTTTATTACTAGATACATCTACCTGAGGTGAAAAATCAAAAGGAAACAAAATAGATTCTTCTATTCAAAAAAACTAGCTTAGCATTATCTGTTTTAACCTAGTTCAAAAGTAAATTCCAGAGGCCAAATTTACTGCCCCCATCAATAAGCAATAAGAAAAGTTAGGGCTAACATGAAGCAGAGTTTAAAACTACAGTTTCTGCTCTTGATAGAGGAGTTAAAAACACATGAGTTCATTACCTGCTTCAGTAACAACCACATTTTGATGGGTATCTCCTGGCTGATTTGTAAAATACGTCTTTTCTACAGGAGAAGTTGGAATGATCTCTGTAAATAATAAGTACACACAACATATACAATGATAAAAAAAGAAATACAAATGTAGATGAAAATAAAGGTTTATTATAAAACAATGTAAACATCATAGCTTTTATTTCAGAGTAATAAAGGTACATGAAATTATTCAACTGTAAAGTCATCATTTAATTATCTTTGAATAAAGTATCCACTTGGTGAATCTTTGCAACTGGATCTACTTGGTGAATCCTTGCAACCCAAATCTGCATTTACGAATGAACAGCGCATCTATACTGATGACAGCCTGCTTTGGCAATAATGAAACCAAGCAGGTACAAAGAAAGGCAAAGAGAAGCAGGAAGTGGGAGCATAAGAATGTGAGACACTGGGGTTCCTGGGTGGCTCAGTCTGTTAAGCGTCTGATTTCAGCTCAGGTCATGATCTCATGGTTCATGGGTTCGAGACACTTGTAGGGCTCTACGCTGACAGCTCAGAGCCTGGAGCCTGCTTTGGATTCTGAGTCTCCCTCTCTCTCTGCCCCTACCCCGCTCATGCTCTCTCTCTCACTCTCAAAAATAAATAAACATTAAAAAAAATAATAAAAGAATGTGAGACGCTAACTGCAATTCAAAAGACAAGCATATCAGTACAATATTTAGATTTCTCCTTGCAGTAATAATCAGCAGATGACTACACGGATTGCACTGGGAATTGATGATTCAAGGAACAACATTCCAAAGCACATTTCTGTCCTAGAAAAACAGTGCCATACTTGGATTTGCTTTCGAGTAGTGTGTATTTCTTTTTAAAAAAACAATAATAAATTAAGGCTTGCAGGTTATTTCTTTCCTGGTTTTATGAGACAAGACCTCCCCAGTGGCCATGCAATTAAAAAGTGTCAAAATTTCTTACCATGATCTCATACTGCTGTGCCACCTATTTTTCCCCCTAGGGCACTGTTTGTTAAATTAACAGTTCAGTGAAAGTAAACTGAATTAGTAAGAAAAAAAACCTGTAAACTTGTCTTTTGCTTCAAAAATATAATTCTTTGTTTATGTTTGTCAAATGATGGAAAAGAAAAAACACATGCAACATTTTAAATTAGTTTATAATGTTAAGTTATTTTTAATACCATATTTGCTACTCTTTATTTGGCCACATAGTCTCTCTTTATTGGAAGTTTACCATACACCATCCTGTAAGAATATTTATTACCCTTGTGTACATATCTCACTCTAACACTTTAATAGCCTCCTGGAGGTTTTAGATATGGTCCTTTCCTACACTCATTTTTCTACAGAACTGAGGCACCTTATGCCAGTCGGTGCTCAACTGGTATTTGCTGAATAAATAATACAGATATTATTCTATTTATTAACACAGAACTGGTTATTTAAAAAAATTTTTTAATATTTTTATTTATTTTTGATAAATAGAGAGAGAGCATGAGCATGGGAGGGGCAGAGAGAGAGGGAGACACAGAATCTGAAGCAGGCTCCAAGCTCTGAGCTGTCAGCACAGAGCGTAACGCAGGGCTTGAACTTGTGAACCATGAGATCATGACCTGAGCTGAATTCGGATGTCTAACCAACGGAGCCACCCAGGCAACCCAGAACTGGTTATTTTTGAAAATACTCTTAAAAATCTTTAAATTGATGTAATTTCTGATTAACAAAATTTTAAAAACTTAATCCCATGTATACTATATTTAATGTCTAAGAACAAGAGTGCATAATGCAATTTTAATGAATACAAAAATTAGATTCAGCAGTATCCCCTTAAAAATGTCTTAGGAAAACCCTGACAGTCACAAAGAGTAGATATGTAACTCACAGAACAATAACAAAAAACAGAGAAGAGTGAAAAAGTCAAGTAGTGAGTTATTCAGTTTCTTCATTAATTACTAGGTTAATTGTTTATTATTTCAGATATCATTGGTCATATTATTAGATGGCATGCAGGGGCAGAAAGAGGAGATGAAGTTCAAATCACACAGTACTTCAGGTGTAACTGGAGAATAAAGTTCAAAATAAGTGGTCTAATTCACAAATTTTAATAAATCCCACTGCTTACTCCTTTAACCCCTCGCCACCAGAAATTAATCATTCTCCACTAAAAAAGCACTGACCATATAAGCAAGAAATTTCATCAAACCAGCATCTCCTAAAAACAAAACACTAAGCTCAAAGAAGGTTAACAAATAGAAAATAAAGATGAAAATATTCCAGTTAAAATAAAGAATAAAAATGCTATACACATAGTTATATATTTGTAACTATAAAACTGTACACGTGCATCAAAAACAAAAAAATACATAAAGGAATCTTATTCACAAAGCACAGGTTATTTGAAGATTTAGGTGGAATACAGAAGATAAAGAAGAAAATATTTTTTATCTTAAATGCTCTTTCCTGAGTAATATGAACCTAAATTACCTAATGTAAAACAAGTAAAGAAGATTCTGAGGTTGATAGTGTCCTGAATAATTTGGCAAGTATGAATGCAAAATAAAAGAAAATAGACACATGTACAAAGGGTCAAATAGTTTACCTAAAAGCTCAAAGAAAGGAGAAAAAGACGTTGTATTAAAGAATGCTCTGTAACATACTTTGTTGCATTCAAGTACATAGTGTCACAAATTTAAAACATCAGAGAATTTCAACTTTATATTTTTCCAATAAAAAAAAATAAAGACAAAGAACGTAAGTGCATAACAGATTTGGCTTTGCAAAGGCTTCTAGGATGGTAATGATGGATTTAGGGCTTTAAAGAATAAACTCACCAGGGATATAGAAAGCTGGCTAATATACTCAAGAGCAGGATAAATATAAGAGAAGGGTAAATCTAATCCAAATAATCCCTTGGGCTTTAAGGTCTTATGAGAAAAGGAATCATGTAATTTCAAGAGAATAATGGAAATAGCAGTACTTGATGGTAATTGCCTTCCATGAACACATTATGAGGTCAAGTAGACAGCCCCTCAAAAGATTTAAAATGATACTTCCCAACACTGAGGAGGAGAAAAACATCAAAAAAAAAAAAAAAAAAAAAAAAAAAAAAAAAAACTAAAGCCTAAGTATCTAGTTTGACTTTATTAGGTCATTAAAAAGAATTACTTTACAGAGTTTTTGCTGAGTGTCTACTTTTGGTCAAATTTTAATTTAGTCGATCTGTCCTCTTCACACTAATTCAAATTTACTATTTCAACAGGAAAACACACCAGTGTAGCTCAGGTCAATGCAATCTTCCCACGTGCTTCACAGGCAAGAAGGTGGAGACTTCAAACAAAAGCTATCTAAGGAGGTATGTTCCAAAGCATGACAATCATGGGAGGAACATGGCACAGGTCCCCACTTTTGTTTCCACTGCGGTTCAATGAGCCATAATCAGTCTGACTTTCACTGAGGAGCACATGCCAACAAATGATAAGCTAATGTTCCAGGAGAAAGTTGCTTTGTTCCCTTAAACTCACCAGATAATCACCCAAAGATCTGCTGTCCACGTGTGTAAATCTATAGGTGCTCTGGTGACTTATACCTACTTCACACACATTACACTAATTATTTAAAATATTTAAAAATAGATACACGTTCTTTGTAAAACCTATTTCCAAAACACTCTGACTTTCACAGAAAAATGTTCTTTTCTCTTAAAGACATGTCTCCAGATGTGTCTAGTTACTCCCTTCTATTTGACTGATTGGACAGTTTGCTCTAGAGCATGAAGTATAATTCAGTACACTGAGTGATATGACAAGGTACAAAGTAATTCCACGTTTCATAGCAGAGAAACAAAAGGATCCAAAGGAAGTGAAGCCTAAATACAAATAGTGAAGATAAAAATAGAAGCAAATACGCCCAACATCTGCTGTACCTCCTTACAGGACTTCCTACCTGGTTCATACTTGCAGATGTAATTGTGCTTCATGTTGCACCTGTCATCATTCCACTGGTAAAGGTAGGGCCCCCCCAGGCCTGGATTGGCTGTTGGTTGATGATACATCACAACACACTTTTCACTTCCACAGGAAGGTTCATCAGTATACCAGTTTCTGCAAACAGAGCAACAGGAACACCTCTAAGTGATTTCAACCACCCTATTCTTTTGGTTTGGTTTTGTTTCAAGTTTTTTTTTGTATTTAAATTCCAGTTAGTTAACATATAGTATCATACTAGCTTCAGGAGTAGAATTTAGTGATTCATCACTTACATGTAACACCCAGTGCTCATCACAAGTGCCCTTCTGAATATCCATCACCCATTTAGCCCATTCTATTCTGACATCCTCAACCAAGTAATGTCCATAAAGAGGAAGAAGCTGTTACCATAGAGATGAATGAGCCAGTTCAGCTGACTTTTGCACTGAGATACCCGAACCTCTTTACAAAAGCCCAGCACTCTCCTACAGTAACACTCAGTACGTCTGCAGATGGACCCCTTGTTGTAGAGTATAAAATTGCTGCTGTGGTACATGTAAGGCTCTATTTGGCTCCCAAGATTGAGGAGGAAGAAGGACCTTAGGCATTCTTAAAATCCAACAAAATAAAATCAAGCTCTTTGAGAACTGCTTCCGAGATGCCAGCATGTATGTAAGTCTCTTCTGTCACCAAATTTGTACCTCTCAGTACATATGTAGATATTTTCTGTAAATAACCTATTTCTTCCTCCATTATTTACAATTTGTTTAAAGTCCAAAGTCAAATCTGGTCTTGTTAACCTAGAAATATTTCTGCCTTCACCTAGAAATACTTGTGATTTTCATCACTAAAGGGTTTTGACTCTAAATACAATTTTAATTTTTTTCAATTTATAGAAATTATTTGAATTTAAAAAAAAAAAAAAGAAAACAAAACAAAACAAAACAAAAAACCCAGAAATCTCCCTCCTCCCTTTCGAGTCCCCCCCACAGCACACTTAACTCCTCAAGATCCCTACTCACCGATACTGGGAACTGCTTCCATCAGACCACTGGTAGAGATCTGGACAGGCACCAGATGTTTGCCCCTCTCCGTTTCGCCAAAGCCCTATCCAGAAATCACCATCAGAAATCCCTGTTCCTGGTTTTGTCAGGTTTTGCAACATGCTTTCTATTAACTTCTGTTCTGCTTCATTCTCCAGGCTGAGGAGGGCCCCCCCCTCGCTCTCACAAGCCAGGCGTGCCTCCTGAAAGCTCACGCGGCTGGACAGTTCGTGGAAGTAGGCCATTTTGTAGCAGGGATGCTTGAGGTCAGCAAAGCACACCTTTTGGCCTGGAAAAAAGATAGCATGCATTGATTCTTTGAACTATATTCATAATGCTACTATGAATTAGGATTAAAGAACCAATCAAGGGGCGCCTGGGTGGCTCAGTCGGTTGAGCTTCCAACTTCCGCTCAGGTCATGATCTCACAGTTCATGAGTTCGAGCCCCGCATCAGGCTCTGTGCTGACAGCTCAAAGACTGGAGCCTGCTCCAGATTCTGTGTCTCCCTCTCTCTCTGCCCCACCCCTGGTCACTCTCTGTCTCTCTCTCAAAAGTAAATAAATATTAAAAAAAAAAAGAACCAATCAAAACAGGATACACTCTCCCAAGAACGATTCCTCCATGGAATCATTTTATAGAGTTTATTTATTTTTTAATTATTATTATCAATTTATAAAAGCAAAATGATTCCCTGGTAAACTTGTAATATGAACTTTTAAACACAGGACTCCAAAACAATGTTTGTTAAGAGAACTCATGATTCTTCTGGCTTAGATACAAACCAATTACATAGCAAACGAAACTAGCAAAAGAAATTGCTTTTTCTTTTAGAGCAAAGAGAGCTAAAAGGTCAAAGTTATGAAAGAAAAATAATTCACAAAAGAACTTAATTTTTAAAACAAGTAAAAACCAATGTATAGAAGGTATCATAAAAAAGATACAAGGTGGCAAAATTTAAATTTTTTTTTCAACGTTTATTTATTTTTGGGACAGAGAGAGACAGAGCATGAACGGGGGAGGGGCAGAGAGAGAGGGAGACACAGAATCGGAAACAGGCTCCAGGCTCTGAGCCATCAGCCCAGAGCCCGACGCGGGGCTCAAACTCACGGACCGCGAGATCGTGACCTGGCTGAAGTCGGACGCTTAACCGACTGCGCCACCCAGGTGCCCCCAAGGTGGCAAAATTTAAGGTGTAAACATTTGCTTTTATTGTATATATCTGAAAGCAAATACACTGAAATTGAAAGTTAATAGAGGCCAGAATGAAGGTAACTCTAGTAATAATTAACTTATTAATACACAGCATTAGAAGTGACAGGAGAGATTTCTAGAGTACTCTTTGAAAAATTCTCATTACCAATTCTCTGAATATTTTCTGGTTTTATAGGACATGCTATGTGTGAGTGTCAATTGCTCAGCCAATGACCTCTCTTTTTACACAGGCAGCTCAAATGAGTCATAAACTCCAAATAAAATTTCCCAAATTTGAACTTAGAGAATCAAGTACTTAAAACAAACAAACAGAAAAGAAGTGCATTTTAAATATGAAAAAGCCAAATGGCTTAGGGTTGGAATAAACACATCAGGAAATAAAGGAGCTATTAAAAATCTCATCAGATGGGGCTCCTGGGTGGCTCAGTTGGTTAAGTATCTGACTTTGGCTCAGGTCATGATCTCACAACTCGTTGGTTCAAGCCCCACGTCGGGCTCTGTGCTGACAGCTCAGAACCTGGAACCTGCTTGGGATTCTGTGCCTCCCCATCTCTCTCTTCCTCCCCCACTCACACTCAGTTTCTGTCTCTCAAAAATGAATAAATGTTTAAAAAGTTTAAAAAGATAAAAAATAAAAATCTCATCAATTGCTAATTATTCTCAATTTCTATAACTTGGATAGAGAGCAGGGTAGGCTGAAATTTGTTGAAACTCATCTTTCAAAGATGGTTAAACAATGAGCTAAAAACAAATTAGGTGATAAATATTTAGCAGACTTGAGAACAAATTATTTTTCAGCTTTAGAGTCTCCATTTATGTATTAAACACACACCAAATAAAAATGACTTCTTCAAATTTATTATAAAAAATGCCCTATTAGACTGGTTGAGATTAATTCCTTTATGAGTGTGAAAGGGGTAACACTGAATTTCTTTTAAATTTTCCCTAAATTAGAATTTCATTAAAATCAAATCCAAATTCACTTAAATTTACCTTTCCCTACAGTTAATCTTAACTATTGCTAGTTTTATTGCATATTTCTTTAGGAATAAAGATTGGGGACCACAAAATGTCCAAAATCCATGAATAAATAAATAGAATAATCAGAATTTGGAAAGGAAGTTTAAAATGTAATTTATATTTATACTTGTATTTTAAAGGTTTTTATGAATTACAGCACTTAAGCCACCTATTCTGATATCTCTAAAGATTTTCAAAGTCAGTATATACATAAATATGTGTGTGTACATATATACACATATATACATATATTTTTAAGTCATATATGTGTTTGTGACAACAAATGAAGCTTAATTTTTGAGACTTCTTAATGGAATATCATCTTTTATAAAACTTCATTGTGTGACATCACTAGTTTACTTCTGCTCTAACAACGTCTGTGAAGACTTAAAGACACAGGCAAAGTTTGATTTAAAAAAATCTCTCAGAATCAAATTTCATACACCTCTACATGTGAATTTCACATTTGTCTACATATGAAGCAGAATGACTTCCTCCTAACTACACTATGGATGATAATAACATCAGGCCACAATAAATCCACATACATATCAGGGATATTAGAGTGTACGGGATTCAGCTAACTACCAGCAAGGGAAGTCCTATCGCTCTGTTGTTTAGATTTGCCCCCTTATTATCACCAGACATGTATGCCAAATGATAGACAATCTCCAGAATGACCAACCTGTTTCATTTTGTTTTTCATTAGCTTCTTTGGGTCACTTCTGATCTCTGCTATCAACTTTAAAAACCGCCACGAATCCCTCTCTGTCTGTTATTTCTTTATCCCAACCCACTGTCCATAGCCTCCACTGCTTTCTTAGTCTTTTTCTGTATTCAGTTTAGATTTGGCCTCAGAAAACAGACTATGAAGCATTTAATGTAAAATAAAGTCAAATTGTAAATGTAAAATAAAGTCAAATGCTAAGAAATTAAGGCATAGCTTTACTGCTTTCTTAAGATTCATCTTCATGAACATTATTCTTGTTGGGATTGAAGGTTTTTTTTCACTTGATATTTAATTTTGTGGCTGATGAAAAAAATTTGTCAGTAGCGGAGGGAGGGAGAGTTATTGTACTTAAACACTGGCTAAAAACTACAGCATTCAAACATTGGATTCTTAATTATAGTACACCACACTGAGTCAACATTGGTACCACATCCATTCTCCCCCAGAATCAGCAATTAATGACCTATGATGACACTCAAGTCAGGAGGGAGCAGGAATCCAGAGGCCATTAACCTCACAACGGTGTTTGAGTGATAGGCATTCAGTATCATGACACAAGCTGAGAACAGCCATCTAATACAATAGCAGTTGGAACAACGCAAGCACAACACCCAGTAGTCCTCTCTGTCTCATTAACTGTGATCCGGACCCAGAAGCAACACACTGAATAATATGAACAAATTAACAGACTTCCCCAACTGATTGTTAATGAAAATGAAAATGCTAGTATGATTGACCATAGGAAAATGGAATTAAAGAGACTTGAAGAGGACAAATTAGTCTCAGATAAATAATCCTTGAGAGATGATCATGGAAGTCCCAGTGGCTGATTCTAATACAATTATTTATTTTAATTTCTCCTAATTTATTATTAGATTTTGTGATGACTTCATTGTTTAAAATGGTTGTTCCTGATGATATTCTAAAAATGTCATGAAGCCCAGTGAGCGTTGTGCCTGCATTTTTAACGCAAGCTATTTCCATTTTCATCTCCTACATCCTTTACATATTTCTAAGTCTCAAAATATATCGTAACTGCATTCCCTTGAGTTTTCAACTTGCTCAATTTTTCACTCCAAGAACTCTCAGACTTGGATTTGACTCCAGCATTTCTGAAATATTAAGCTTGTCCAACAAGATTGTTTTGCAAGATGTCAAAAAGAAACCGACTTAAAAAAACAATCACCAGAAATCTGAAAGAGTAAACATTATTTATGTAACAAGGTTAGCACAAATTCAGAGGGTGCCTACATGGGATTGATATGCTAAAAGTCTCTGTTCATGATCTTTAATGTATTAAAATATAAGTGCAACACAGATTTATTTATGGTGAGGGGACAGAAATGATGGTAAGAATCAACTCATTTATAAAATATGATAGCACTTTGAGGGGCATGTGGTTGCCTCACTCAGTTAAGCATCCTCACTCAGTAGTGATCTCATGGTTCGTGGGGTCAAGCCCCACATCGGGTTCTATGCTGTCAGCATGGAGCCTGCTTGGGATTCTCTCTCTCCCTCTCTCTTTCTGCCCCTCCTCTGCTCATGTGCACACACTCTCTCTCTAAAAATTAATTAATTAATTTAAAAAGGTAGTAATTTGAATAAAATGCTTAAGAGAACTTTAGTGCAATGTGGAGATTTCTAACACCACTACGTGAGTCCACAGAGAAATAATGCTGATATAAGAAAAACCTAAGGTAGGGATTATATTTAAAGTAATTACTAATACTGCACAGGCCCGAGGTGGTAGCTGGCATGGCATTGTTTATGACAGGTATTCTCTCTTTAGTTGTGGAGGATGGAGTGGTCCAGGGTCGTAGGTGAGGGGGTAGAGACTGTGATGGCTGCACAACAGAGGGACCCTCAGGGGATCAGAACAGGGGCCAGGTACTAGAACAGGCAGATATTCACTCCAAAGTATCCACCGAATATCAGCTGTGTCCTCAGACATTGAATGGAAAAGTCACTAGCAGTTCAGATCTACCAAGTCTGTTTTCACAAAAGGATACACATACATTGTCCACTTTTACTACCGTTTATATATCATCAGTAAAGCTGACAGTGTGAATTTCTTTACATCCAATTCTATTTCACTACTGACTACGGCTTCTGTGTGCAGATTTGGTCCAAGCTGTAGCAAAACCAGCGAAAGCAGCTATTGAATGCTCACCACCATTTCAGATGGTCACATTTGGCTGTCATGGCAGTGGAACTCCAACAGCTGGGAAACAAATGTTGCCCTAATTCCCAGAAAAGTTCCATTAATACAAATCTTCTGGAAGCAACTTTTCCCACTTCTGTAAAGGCTCATCTTCCTAGAGAACC